TGTTAATCAGAAAGGTTGGTAATTTGGCGGTTCGAATCCCTAGAGCCACATAATGGAGTGAACTCCCATTACTTGTCCCAGCTTTTGCCAATCTAGCAGTTCAAATGCATGTAAAAATGCAAATAGAAAAATAGGAACCACCTTTGGTGGGAAGGTAAAAGTGTTCCGTGCACCTTCGGTGTTTAGTTATGTCAGCTGCATGACCACGGAGACATCTTCGGACAGCGCTGGTTCTTCAGCTTTGAAACAGAGATGAGCATCGCCCTCTAGAGTTGGAACAGACTAGCACATATCTGTGAGGGGAATCTTTACCTTTGCCTTTTAATTCATAATTTGATCTGTTTTTATCTCTATTTTTCTTCAGTTTGACCTGAAACTAAAATATGAATTTTCCCTTCCTTAGCTTTGATCTGAAACAAAATATGTTGTATATATGCAGAAAAGATTGTTTTAGGTCACCTATAGGCAGGATGAAAACTTAAGCAAAAGAGAAGTCAAGTGGATAAAAAAGAAAACAATCCACACATTTTATCTCTCATTCAAAACAAAACTGCCATTTTTTTCTATTGAACATAACTACTGTTTATAACAACTCACTGAATAAATTTCATATATTCCCTTCCGGCCCTCATCACATTCACGACGAACCCAGTGTCGATTGAGGTAGGCACAAATCCCATTCAACACTTTGCTTGAAAACCGATAATCCTCCCATTGTTGAGTATAGAATTTCAACACGCTCTCATCCATCAAGTCTTCACCATCCTGAAAGAGATAATTCATCAACAGAACTTAAGCTAAATACAAGCAGGATTTCTTCTGCAGTATCATCTATTTTCAAGAGCAAAATAGTACCTAACTGACCCTTCATTTGTTAGTCTAGTGACTTATTGGATAGGCCTCTGTCTTTCTCTTGTGCACAATACATCACCTTGACATATAAATAACATAACTACATTTTCTTTCAATAATCAATTTTTAGACTTGAACTGTCTTTTCTTTTTGAAACATTGGCTGAAATTTTTCAGACAAAGACGGAACATTGGTCCCTGAATGTTGCTTTTCAGGATACTGGGGGACGAGCCAGGAATGGGATATTATCACGTCCTGATTGGTCCAGAGACTGAATGGTATTTTTTTCCCCAGCCACATCTCTAACTCTCTCTCTTGGCTCCAATTTTCAATGAGGTCGCAGCTACAGAGACTGATCTGAAATGACAAGAAAAACAACCAGCCAACCCACAACCCTAGCTCGCTACAGACTTTAAGTAGGGCGAGACTTGGCCCTTCCAGCAGTATCCTGAGAAACAACATTCAGGTAGGACCAACGTTCCTTCTCGAGGTTATACTGCAGGAGGGGCCAGGAATGGGACATACCCAAGCTACCGTCCTAAGGGGGGGGGGAGAAACCTATCTAGTCCGGAGCAGTCAAGGTGGCCACAACCTGCGGAAGTACCCTGCGGCCGAAGGACGTCTTTGTAGATGCAAAGGCATCCACACGGTAATGTCTGATAAAGGGCAATGGCGTTGCCCAAGTGGCTATCTTGCATATATCCTCAAAAGGAGCCTTAGTTGCCCATGCCCTTGTGGTGGCAGCGCTCCTAGTGGAGAGAGCTGTAATTCCAGACGGCGGTGGATGATCTTTGTCTTGTAAGCTCTAATGATCTCCCCGTGCAACCAATGACCAATTGTTGTGCGAGTGAGGGTCACAGTGTCGCTGGCAGGAAAAAAAATACAGATCCACCTATGGATCGAAGCTCTGCACCTAAGATAAATCTGGAGTGCTCAATGAACGTCAAGCCTGTGCCAGAGGCAATCTCTATCACGTGAAGGGGCCAGACAAAACTCCAGCAGGATAACCTCCTGCGCCCTGTGAAAGGGAGTATTCACCTTTGGAATGAAGGTGGGGTCGAATCTAAGAACAACCCTATCTTGGTGAAAAACACACAGGTCCCCTCTTGAAGACAGAGCCCCCAGCTCTGAGATGTGCCTGGCCAATGTTGTGGCAATCAGAAACACGACCTTGAGAGTGAGGAACTATAGGCTGACCGTTTGCAGGGGCTCAAAGCACTTAGAGGACCATAGGCAGGTCTACGTGGGAAACTTAGGATTGGTGGAGGGTCGGAGGTACACCACCTCCTTAAGAAATCTCTTAATAATTGGATGTTGCGATAGTAGCATGCGTCCCTCCCCACAAGCACTGTGGACAGCTACCTAGCGGCGGACTGTATTGTGGGAAAGGCCCTTTTCCAATCCATCTTGCAAAAATTCCAGAATCTGTGGTACTGAGGCCACCATTGACACTATGTTGGCTGTTCTGCACGATTTGATGAACATCAACCACATGGAGTTGTAAATCCTCATTGTCGATGGACGGCTAGACACCTCAATGGTCAAGATGACCCGTGAGAAGTTGGCATTCCTCAGGAGGCTCCATTCAAGTGTCAGGTGGTCAAGTGGAGCCACTGACGCTCCAGGTGGCACAAGGAGATCTCCTCCTGGGGAATCCTCCACAGGAGGGGAAGGGAGAGACACAGACAGCTGCACTAAATCTGTGTACCATGGCCTCCTGGGCTGCTAGTAGAATGACCCCTGCCCCCATAACTATCTTTTTCAGGGTCCCCAGAATGAGAGAGAGGGGAGGAAAGGTGAAAAGGAGTCCACTCAGCCATCTGCTGTGTAGGACGTCCATGCCTTCTGCTCCTCAAGTCGGGATATGTGAGAAGAACCAAGGGAGCTGGGTATTCGCTGGGGTCACAAATAGGTCCATCGCTGGGGTGCCGAAGTGCTGGCAAATCCTGTGAAACTGACACTCCCCATGGTCCATGGTTGCTATGCTGAGCCTATTGGTCTGGTGGTTAGCCGACCCTGAAATGTGCTCCGCCTTCCGGCAACTGAATAACCCCACAGGTCCCACTGAATAACCGGCCCAGAAGGCACGCCGACACTTTAAAGTGCATGCCGCCTCGGCCTGCCATAGAGCAAAACATGTCCTGGTTTATGGCTGGGAGGCACACTGGCACTTTAAAGAGCATGCCCTGCCCCGGCCATACAGCAGGTGCTGCACGCCGGGCTGGGAGAGTTCTGGAAGATGGGAGGGAGATGGCGCAGGCGGCCGGAGCCCCTTCTGTTACCGTCCTGAGGAGCCAGTGCTGCTGCCTCACTCCTCATCTTCTTCATCCTCGAGCGGTGACAGCGGCGGCCATGTCTCGCAGAGTAATTCACAGCTAATAGTTAGACACTGAATTCAGTCTTTTAAGACATAATTATTATTTGGGACAAAAGGTTTTCTTTTGCTAGTAAATCCCCTTCTCATCTTTTTTTAAAAAATACTTTTATTTCAAGATAGCATTGGAATGTATTTTCTGGGCTTTTGTATTCACTGTTTATCATTGTAATACTGTTTGCTTTGATCTCCACTCTTGAATAATTAGGACCAGCTTTACTTTAAGATAAAAACTGGGTTTGTATAAAATTCTGAGGCAAAAAGGGGGAAGGTGTTACAGTATTGTGTGATAAATAAATTACAGCTTAATGTGTTGTATGGAACCACCATGCATAAGTAAGTAAGTAAGTAAGTAAGTAAGTAAGTAAGTAAGTTATATTTACTATCACATATGAAATCCACTCAGAGAGGCAGATACACCAGACCACAGATGTTGGGACATGAAGAGGCAGCAATTTTATACAAACCCAGTTTTTATCTTAAAGTAAAGCTGGTCCTAATTATTCAAGAGTGGAGATCAAAGCAAACAGTATTACAATGATAAACAGTGAATAC